CAAAGAGTGTCTTTTTAAGTATTAGGTGTTCTGTGGTCAAAATCTAGAATCCTCTCAATTCCTTTCCAATGTCTGATTAAAACAGTAGGAATAACTACTGGTCTTTAAATTGTCTAAACCTTGAAAGATCCTTCAGAGAAATTGGAGAATGTGGAGGAATCCCAAGAGGACCATTTCAAACTCCCAAGTGTTAGGGCACTACAGCTAGTTCCTTGAACTATATTTAACACAAACATCTTGGTGGTTCAATGATCAAAAAATATGAAGGAGCCGATGATGAAAAGCAAAGGCACAAGTTGTTCACAGATGAAACATTAGACAATTTACCAAAGACTGAAGATAGGATCTCACACAGCATAGTGTAGAAAGCAATGGAGGAATGCATAATAGCAAATAGACTGAGAGGAAGAATATACAGAATGTATAGCAGTCATACACTAAAAATGGGAAGGTAAGTAAAATCCTCATCTGAAAGGAATGATCACAGTTTGCTTAATAAGCAAAAATAAAAAAACACCTGCATCTTGTTAACATCTTCAGGACCCAAGAGTCCCTGCCTTCTCCTTTCCAGGAAGAGTGATCAACTTGTTCTGCTGGAAACAGTTTATGACCAAAGGGAGACGAAAGAAATACCCACCTACCCTTACAGCTAATTCTTTAGAGAACTGAAAAAAGGAAAGGTACTATTCATTTTTCTGTTATGGCAACATAAATGAGAAATTATTCCACTGAACTCAATAAAGTCTCATCAGCATATCACTTAGGAGAGAAGAATAAGAATCTGATGTTCAGACTTCATAAGTCACGAAGGGGCTTTTTTTCTTTTTTTTCTTTTTTTAAGGTACTGTTCATCACTAAGTCACTAAAGATACGCATTAGTCAAATGCAACATTGCTGGGAAAGTCCTTAAAGATCACAATTTAGCAGGGATAATTTTCTAATATATAGTGTCTGGTGTTTCCCATATTTACTCATCAATTAAAAATTACTTTTGTGATTATCAATCAAACTTAAAAAAAAAAGTTAATCAGTTCTGTTTTAAGGAAAAGTCCTCAGTTATTTTTCTTATACATTGCCTCAAGGACTACACCTCATATGTGCTTTCTAAACACCACTCTGAAGCTTAATAAGCCTACTTGAAAAAGCTGGTGAGAAAGTCCTTGAGATGAACCATAAACCAGATATGAACAAATAGCCAAATACTGTTTACCATTGCTGTTTTTAAGCATTGTCAGAACATTTTCCAATAGAAACTAATTAATTTTCAAATACTCTGAGATGTCCTAAAGCGTTTCTTGATTGTTGAGTTTCACTTCTTTCCAAAGATTCTTGGAGAGAGGCTGCAGTTAACAACATCACAAGTGACAGCTCAGAGACAGCTACTATCAGCAGGGACAGTGATGATGCAATGTCCCATGATTTAGCTACACATTTCTTATAAAATACCCTGCCACTAAATGTGTTCACTGATCATGAGTATGATACCCAAAGGGCTTCGTTAGGTTTGAAATGTGTATATGAAGCCAGCAAGAAAATAATTAAAATTATTTAAGTTATTTTTCTTTAAGACAAGGCTCTAATGTTAAATAAAGGCAATGGTACATATATTGCTCCTTTCCTTAGTAGATGTAACCAATAATAACACGAGTCACCCATAGTCTTTGCTACTCATACAGTGTTTTCATTATTTTTCCTTAAAACATGTGTTGTAGAGAAAGCCCAAGTTTTCATTATTATTGCCACGGATTTTAAGATGAATACAACCACCAATTTTTAAGCCAAATGGCAAGAAATAACATACATTTGGGGAGAAGTTTGAAGGAGGAGCTTCTATATGCGCCCCTCTGTAAATGAGAGTTTTCTAACTGGCCAGTTTCAAGTTTCTTTCCATCATAACTCATGCTGTCAGTGGAAGATGATACCACATCTCTGCTACCACAAAAGCTCTCAGAAGTTCTATCCAGAGGAGAGAACGACAGTAGACAGGATAAAACAGGCAAGAAGTCAAAACAGAAAAGTTCCTTATCACAGAAAGCTGAAAACCAAGGTGTAAGAGAAAGCAAATGAATCCTGATAAACAGGAGAGGATAAAGGTACAATTGCTTGTAAGTCGGTAAGCATAGATCACTGCATGTGATCTATGAGGTGTTTTGCCATCACGTGTTTTGCCATTCACGTATTTTATAGCTAACAGTCAAATCAAGAAGAAAGAAGGTGAAAAAGCAATTACTAATTTTTGAGCTTTTTGGACTTAATGTAGGTATTTCAGTTAAATATTTGAAGTTTGATAAAACGGGTCAGGGCCTTAGTTTCAACTAATCCTTCTTCCAGTTGTCTTTCACATTGCTAAAAATCTTCCTCTAAAAATGAATTAAAGACATCCCCTCTGTAGCAGGATATTTTATGTATGCCAAAAATAAAAACTCTATTAATAAAGAATTTATAGTCTGCAAAAGTAAGGTCAAGGAAGCAATCAAGGACCTGGATGTAACACATTATGAAGAAGTTTTACAAGGCATACAATAATTCAACTTGGTAACTCAGAAGCCGAATTTCACCAACACATCATGCTATAGTTGAAAAACAAATAGCAGGATTGACAAAATAGGGAGTAGTCGAACTTCATTAAAAAAATTAAACCTCCTACAGAAATTCCAGCACAGCCTTTTAGTATTAAACTGTTTAAAAATTTTCCCCATAGCTTAAGCATTGAAAAGTTATTAAAACTGCTGTCTTGAATGAGTGAGGCATTTGCTAAGACTGTGAGACTGACAGCATGGATGCGATGATCCTTTTTGCATCCACGAAGTAGAACAGCATAAGCAATGTAGTATGGAATTTGACAGTACTATCTGTTTTAAGTTTGACCATTAAGGACAGGATCAACTGCAATCACAGATGAGATCTGGAAGAAATGACACTTCCTTTTTCCTCTCCTTAGTTAACACCTGAGGTGTGGGGGGGAGAATTACCATGATAACTGGTTAAAAGAGAGTTTACAAAAAGGACATTAAAAAAATTTTAGAAACCAAAATAGCTTGGACAAATTTTTACTCCTTTTATCACTTCAATTTTATGCACGCTACTGTTAATAAAATACAAATAGTACCCAAAATTTAACTGCTACTGACTGTTTGCTCTTACTGCAATTATTTGCAGTTTCTCAGCTTATGCATTCACACGAAGTTTTCACACAGTAAAAACAGTCATTTCAGTATTAAATTGGTAGCTCCACCTAGTGTTGTTCATGACTTATTCCAACAGGAATTGAAAAGCAGAGAGCTAGTCTTAACATGTAACTGTATACTACTTCTGCTTGCTGCTTGCACACAGAATTGCCACCCACACCCCTGAGCTTCAGTTTCACCGGCACTGACTACGAATAGCTCTCATGGCCTTACACTTATAAAACATGCCAAAATCATCTTTTTTTTTTATTTCATTTTTGAAACAACAAAATACTGCTTTTAAAATCTCAGGGAGACAAAAATCTTCTGGCACCTTACTTAGGGACACATTTTGATACCACTGATTGTATAGTATTGCTATTACTTTGACAGACCCTTTCAGGCCTAGAAGTTGTTTCTCAGAAAGACTGTTCCTCCAGTATGGGCCGAGCCTCAGGAATAGCAGACAGCTCATCTGTTCCTATTGTCTTCTCCTGGGGGATGGATATCTGTCTGGGTAACGCTCCTATTTGGTACCTGTGAAGCCTTTTGGAGAAAGGTATTAAACTGACTTGGGACTCAGTGTCTTCAATTCAAGATGACTTTAGACTGCGTTTTCTCTACCTTGATTGCAGCAACAGCTTAGCTTTAGTCAGGGTTGTCGCAAAATCGGAATGCAGACAGGGCTGACTCACCTCATGCAATACTGCAGTTATGTTGAGGGACTGGAGAAATACAACACAGGAAACTGTGAAGTTTCAGAAGATCCTTTAAAAGGGAAAGCTTACCTACATTGTTCTGTTTGGATACACACGCCCCCCAACTGGAATTGTTAAACTTCTTTTTACAACAGCAATGTTAGTTAAGTGGAGATACCTGTGAAGTATTTTCTGTTTCTGGAATGAAATATTGTGCAACCTATAATACGACTACTAAGTCTGCATATAACAAGAGTTTCATTAAAAGGCAAGTTTTCAATTTCTCACATGATATGATTATTTGTACTCAGTTCACCAAAATACAAGTTGTGGTAACACTCAGATCTTAGGATAACTCGATTTAGTAATTCATTAAGAATGTTAAATCTGCAGATCACAAAATACTCCTATTTCTTCTTACTAACAACAACCTGGAAACTTGTGTTTTAATCTTCTAAAAATCCTACTGCTAAAGCTATCAGCAAGTAAGCAGATACAGCAGTTTTGAATGTTTCCTAATGGCTGAAGAGAATCAAAACTTTCTCCACACAATAATAACTACCAGAACTGAAGCCTGCAGTTTTTGTCATAGAAAGCAAATCGTGTGCTGCTGTCCCCTGACACTGTATTCTCAATGGTGTCCTTCATCTGGAATTCACATTCCAGAGTCTGAAGTCTGAAGAGTTCACATCATTCTCCTCCAGGACCTGTTGATGCTACTGACTCTATACTTAGTGATAACAGGTAGGTTTAGTGTCACAGAGTGAAAGGGAAAACCTGGATCACTGAATCTAGTATTCTGCTGCCTCAGGAATCACTTCAGAAACCTACTCTGTAGATCCTTAAAAGATGCTGGACTTGGACAGCCAGGTTGTTTTGTTTCAGAACTCACGCCTAAGTGCCAGAAATCTTCTTCAAATTCTGAGCCTCACTTTATTTAGCACCATTTTCTTCTTGTGACAGCACTATTCTTCTATCTTCTATCTTTTTCTACTACTATCTTAAGTATCTTACAGTAAGCCAATTAATAAGCAATCTATGTTTTGTTTTTAGTCGTTATGCCTATAAGTTTTTAAGCAGTTCACTTTATAAATCTGAAAATAAATACGTGTATTTAAACACAATTCACACTTACCTGTAAGCATTAATGTAATCCTTTCTATGTTGCAGAAGAAAATCTTTCAGCTTTCCAATATGAGAAATCTAAATGAATAGAAATCATAATTAAACTTCAGTCAGATAACTGATTACTTTTATGTTTAAAGTTCAGTATTCCACACTTCAAACATGAATTTGTAAAATTATTCATTCTGTAATTAAACAGAACCATAAAATTTACTCTTTTACAGTAGAATTTTTACATTTTGCAAGCAGTCAATACATAAATATCATCTAAAAAAGCTCTGTTGTATGAAAGTACAACTCAGAAAAGCAGTAAAAATACGTCTTCTATCCAAAAAGCATAAACACTAAACACTACTAAACACTAAATATAACTACAATATTAAACATTGAAAATATTAAACATGATTATAATAACACAAGACATTATCTAAACTGGCAATCCAGAACCTAATGTACATTTCAGAAAATAAATTCATTTTAGAAGATCACACAAGAAAGTTTGAAACATTTTACTGACGAGACATGATATAAATATTCAAGTTCAGTTATTAGAACTTGTAGAGCAAGGTGCTGTCCCTCTCCTTTCTATTTTTGCCATAATAGAGTGACCAGTTTGTGCCCAAACTCCAGTAGTTATCTCTATCATCTGATAACCATTAGTAGGGGTTGCCAGAGCATACATCCCTATCAAATTTCTATTTCTGGATTTCCACTTCACTGTGGATACATTTTGCTATAAATCCACTTGATTTTCTTTATTAAAAGTCTTCACAAAGATCCTTTGAGAAGATGAAAAAACTCCTAAAAATCTGAAAGAACTCTTGCAAACTTTAGTCTGACTTAAAAGATTTGGTGTAGCATAAGATGCTGCTTATCTTAGAGAATGGAGGAACTACAGAAATCAAGTTTGATGATGACTACCAGTATCACTTCCTTGGCAGGTCTTGAAGGAGACATGATGGGGGGGGAAAAGGAGGAGGAAGAATTATATATATTAGTGGTATATATTTTCAAGGGGGAGGCAGGGGGAACCTTTCTAAAGCATATTCTCAAATATTCATTGTAAATATTCAGTGTAAAAAGGCACGCATGGAATTTTACAAAACAATAGTTCGTTTAGTTTACAAATACAATAAATGTGGTTTACTCCATGTATCTGGGAAAAAGCATCAGAAGCTGTTCAAGTCTTAAAATCCTATTTTCATGCAAATGTTCCTTGTAATTAAACAAACAAAAACCCCATAAAGAACACAGAATAGTTTGGATAAATAGAAGATTAATTCCCCCAATTATTTTTTTCAAAAGATCAGCACTCTTTGGAAAAAGTAAGAGGGGAAAAAAAAATGTACTTAGTAAGAGCACAATGATTTGTACAACTAAAAATAAGTGTTTCCTTGTGCAAATAAATACACATACATTTCCCTATTATTATTTGCTCTGTTTCATTTTTACTACAACTCATTGTATTGGACAAGAATTTTCCCAGTTTTCATGTTTAAAGTTTTCCATGTGATTAACAGGACGGGAAATTTCATCTCATTCATAGTAAACTGAGTTCTGCTAGTACCTCCAGTAGATCCAAAGTTTCCTAAAGTGTGTTAGCACCATCGTAAGCAATAAGAAGGGAAATACTGAAATCACTACAAGATCAATGAGGCACAAAGAATAAGCCAAACCATTCTATAGATGTTCCTTCTCATCACCACTGGAACTTATTTTTTGTATACTAATCTCCTTCTCAGCTCAGACTTGGTATGTCATGAAATCTGCTGAATAGGTAAATTAAGCTTGACTATGAAAGCAAAACATTTAGAACAGTCATACAGTGTTTCAGTAGAACAATAATACTTAATAGGCAGAAAGAAAGTACTACAGAGTAGTAGAAAGTACAAAGAGTAGAAGTGTAAAATAAGAAACATTTCAAAACATTTACATTAATATGTGAACAAACACTAAACTACAAAAGAGATTAGCAAAACTTTGTAAGTAATAAATCTTAATATTACTGCAGTAGCTACAATTTAGGAGTGATTAACAAGCAGAAAGAATCAGAATGACAAGCAAGAACACTGTCTTACAGTAATTAATTCATCTAGTCACAAAGAGCATTCTACTTAGGCTAAAATTGTCATCGTGTGTTTGAATTGCACTGACCCCACTTTGCCTCTCCTTCATTTGTAAAGCTATTTTCATGAATTTAGAATGACACCATTATGCCCATACTTGCATCAAGCTCTTAGTTCCCAAGATTTGCATCAGAAGTGAGACTTCTTGTTCTACTTTCCCTCAAATTCTAACAGCATCTTCTGTGATCCTGCACTGCTGCTATTTCTCTTTTGCCTTTTCATACCATGTACTATTGGCATGGTTTTGGATTCAATTTGTCATTACCATATCAACAAAATTAAACAATTTTTACAAAAAAGAAGGTCCCACTAGCATAACAGGGAATGTAAATTTTATGAAAAAAAAAAAGATTTTTTTTTTTTTTGGTACAATGCTTAATCTTCTGCAGACACAAAATATCCCTGATTATACAAATATAAATCTTGAAGATATCTCCAGTGTCATCAACCTGCATTTATTCTGGGGTTATCAGAGGCACACAATACACCCTTTACAGTTATCAAGCTCCAGCCTAAAGGTAATAAAACATCTCCCTATTCCAACTGAATAGCTTTATTAGAATCCTACTGCTCTTATTATGAATAAGAACTATCAGATTTCCAGATTTACTGATTACCAACTTCTATCCATCTGTTCTTGCTTCAAAAGTCCTTTGCCTTAAAAGCTCTGCTTCCCTGCATGTGTGTTTGAGTTTGTCGTCAATAATCCTATGCCCCTCTAACTTCTGTAGCCCCAGACAAACGACCCCAAGCTTTTAGTTCTTCTCACAAGATAGTTCTGAAGTTGCCTAACCCATAACTTTCCTTTGCATTTGCTCCAGTTTGCATCCATCCTTTTCCAATGCAGATGACTAGAAGGGCATTCACTGGTGTTAGTTACTTTGTAACTCACACGGAAATACCTTTTTTCCCCACCACTTTCATCGATCAGTTTCGAGCTTATTCTTCACTTCAGTCTCTAAATACATATTCTACTGCTGAATTTCTTTCTTCCCCCCACAACTCCAGACCCCAGAGTCATTCAGCACTTGCTGTAACGTATCATGCTGCTCCCTCTCCTTCCTCTCAGCATTACCCTCATCAGTAAATTTTATTGATCTATCTTACTCTGGGATTGATTTTAAAGCTTATCTTGTTTAGTACTGTTCTTATTTTGGGGAATGCAAATAGTAATTCCACTCTTAACCTCTCAACACTTCTTTCAACACAGAAGCATTGCTTCTGCTTATTTGTCTTACTCAGTTAATATTTTCTCTGCCAATCGCTACATTTCCTATTAGCACTTTATCAGACACTTCACTCAGACACCAGGTCATCTTAATGAAGGAAAAGCAGATTTTCTTAAAGTGTCAAGTTGGTTGGGCACATCCTATTTTTAGTAAGATAGCAAATTATACTGCATTGCATCTTGCTTTCTATTTATCTTTTTCCCCTTAAAATCTTTTCTGAATCCTAGACCACTTCTGAGTCAGGCCCTACTGATGCCATTATCAGTTTCTCTCTGCTGACTTAATTACAGGCATTAAATTTGCTTCCCTCTGATACCATCTTCAATTCGATGTATTTTCATTAAAAATAGCTGGGATTTCTCAAATCCACTGTGTCTGAACTCAACCCAGAGATTAACTGATAACCACAATTTGACTGCATTGAAGTTCTGAGATTTTGTACAAATTTCCAGTAACGTTCTCTGGTTCCCAGCACATATCTTGCTTTTACCCTGCTGGTCCATGGCTTTTTCCTTACTAATTTAGTCTGGAGACCATGCCTAAACTATTCTTAATCTATACGTCAGCTGCATGACAAATCCACTTTTTTGTTAATTCTCTTTTTATTTACATAGCTAAAGAATATTTTAAATTCGGGAGTTTTTAATACCGTTAACTCATTGTGAATTTTGCCAAATCTGACTTTACCTCTACAAAGTCTTCCCTTCTGCAACAGTTTTCTTGGCCAGTCTGTCTCTCTCTCTTCCCCTGCTTTTTACTGCCTCTGGGCTAATTTTTTGTATCTTCTCCAATTAATCTTTCAAGTAGACCTAGAACAATTTTAAATCCCACTTGCATTTCAGCATACCCATTTTTTTCACTCCCTTTACCCATCCATCATAATTGCAACTTCCCATTTGCTGTATATGCCTGTTTGCAAAACAGTTATACCACCAGTTGACACAGTCATCAAAAGGACAGATGAAAGCAGTTTGAAGATGAAGCACAAACACATCTGAGTATTGGCCTCTTGTCGTGGTTCCCATTCTCTGCTTCTGGAAATTAGCTTTCTTCATCTCTGAAAGTCTGGAGCAGAGAAGTAAACCTCTTCTTCAACCTTGAAATAATGAAATTATTTCCTTTTTTCCCTGAAGGTATAGGAGGGCTTAGAGAAATGCCCTTCATAGTTGCAACACTCTTGCACTATATTAAGACTAAACTTATCTTACGGGAAAGAACACTACTGAATTTCCAGATGTAACCGACACTTATGAGAATCATGGAAAAAAAATACCTTTCCTCCCAATACTGCCAACATCAGTTACATTATACTAACAGCATGTTTCGAGCTTCTGCACGCTACCAGAACACAGAGGGTTATGTCATTTCTGACAATGAAGACCACTTAGGAGCCCACAACTCCGGGCTCTGCCTCTTCTCTTCCCATTCCCACTGGCACTCCTTGAGGGTCAATACCACACACCAAAACATTGACATGACTTTTTCTTAAATTACTATTCTGGAAAGGGGGGTTAATAATGGTTAAGACCAAATATAAAGAACGGGTTTCTTTCGTTTCAGCTCCACAAATACCTGTATCAGCATGAGGGAGAGCAGAAGCTGGATAGCACCAGTAGGGAACTTTCTAAAAGATGCATCTGCCATGAAAGGAGGTATATTTAGTTATAACTTAAGAAACTTAAAATGATAAGCTCCTAAGCGCAGGTACCAAAGCTGGAGACTC